TTTCTGTTTTTAGTCTTTACATGAATATGAGGTCAAAAGTTATAGAAAGTAGGTGACAGGTTTAAAATTCTTCTCCATTTAGGGGAGGTCACGTGGATGTATGTAACTTCAGCCTAATTATTACACCTTTGAGGAAAACCCAGATTTTGGGAAATTCCCGAGCATTTGAAAACCCCCAAATAATAGCTTGTGTAAATTGAGAGTTGTTTTTCTTCAAGTGAAACTGAAACAAAACAACACATTTTACGACCCAATAAAATGTATGTTTTTAAATGAAAAGTGTAAAAACACATCAAAAGATCATTTCTAGGCTTACATACACACATAACGTTTCTTTCCATTCAATAATATGCAGACCTAACTGTCCTGTTTCAGTGTATCTGCTGAAATTTATTTTGTCCTCCAAACGTGAACGCACCACCCAAACCCGGAAGTGAGTCTTCATTGGCCTCACTGAATTGTGCTGCGTTAAATACCGTCGGAGCGCCCTGTGCAGCGCCTTCTTGTCGACTTGTGTTCACTCCCTCGGTCTGTCGCTCCATCAATAAACCGATAGGTGAAAGCGCACGCGCTCTCTCATCGGTAAAATCTGTGAACCGCGTCGCTGGCTCCTCTCCTTCAGCCTCCCAGCTAGCTTAACCCCCCTCGCTAGCGTTAGTTTCGGGTAAATGGGATAGTTGTTCCTCATTGCGTTTGACCGAAACAGGCAGTTCTGCTGTTTATCTTATCAGTCCGTCCACTCCGAACATCAGAGACTGCTATGGAGCGGCATGGGGCCGTGGGCTGCGTGAACATCGGGACCCTGACGAGCACTTTGCCTGCGATCCCTTACCAGAAGCTGACGGACCTTTACTACCTGAGCAGGGGGGGCTTCGGCACCGTGTTCAAGGCGCAGCACTCCGACTGGAGAACCACCGTGGCCATCAAGTGCCTGAAGCTCGACTCGGTGGGAGAGAGGTACCTCAGCCACTGCTGTCTGTAGAAGTTTATTCCTAATCAATCTTCTAATTGATTAATTAGGAAACATCTTGTCCAGTTAAGAGTCTAGATTGGCGTGTTTATGTGTCATCGATGCAAAGTGGAGTGAAAAAAGATTTGTTTTTAAGGAATATGTGCCTTTCTAGAGTCACCCATTATTGGACATCCTACTACAGTTTTTTAATAGCATGGCATCTAAAATTAGAGATTGCTGCGTGCTCTTCTTTGCTAAACATCACCAGATTAAGTGGGATTAAATGGAAGTCTGTGATTGTCAGTTTTCCTAATTTGCTCCTTTAATTCTCATCCCTTAACCCTGTTAAAGAAAAGCACACCCACAGCATGATCCTGCCACCTCTATGTTTTGTGTTGGCATGTTTTTTTAACTCCCACACAGTGTTGTGGTTAAAATAGAGTGTCATTTCTCTTTCTGGCTTCCTTCTAACAATAGCCAGAGGTTTCAAGTAACAAAGTACAAATACTTAATTACTGTACTTAAGTACACTTTTTAGGTATTTATACTTTACTCCATTACTTATTTGTCTTCCTACTTCTGACTTCTACTCATTACATTTTCACACAAGTATCTATACTTTCTATTTCTTACATGTTTTAAACAAACGTCACTCGTTACTCTTGGTTTCGGTTTAATGTTTATAAATGTTTATTTCCCGTCATTTGCTCCATCCAATGCAGATCATTGGCTCCACCCACATCTAGTGAAAACTAGTGTGATTGGATGAGTCATATAACGCAAACACTCATTGGTTAGCTAAAGGAAATCATCAGAAGCAAGCAGGTGTTCTTCAAACTGCTAACGTGAATTGTCTATGCCATGCTACAATGTAGGATTCAGAAAAAGATGTTAAAATGTCTGAAAGGTCGGACACAGGCGAGAGCGTATCGGGAGACGGAGACCAACAAGACCTCCCTCATCCTTGGCAATATCTCCAAGAATATTTAGAAATAGTCGAAAAATTGAGCTTTTAATCCATATAGTGGCATCTGGCTGTTTTTTTTAAAGGTTACTTTATACTTTTAAACTTTTAATAAGTTTTTGGAGCACATACTTTTTCACTTTTACTTGAGTAAAGAGGTCAAGTTGATACTTCAACTTTTACCAGAGTGTTTTCAAACTACAGTATCTTTACTTCTACTAAAGTAACAAATGTGTGAACTTTTGACACCACTGGTAATTGCTTTAATCTGGGCAATCCTTTCATAAAGGATACTAGGGCTGGGCGATAAGACGATACGTATCGTACGGACGATAGAAAAGTGTCTATCGTGCTAATTCTATTCTATTGTTTCTATCGTTTCTAACACAATTTTATCTCGTATTCATGCAATTATTTCCCATGGTAGACTACGACAATCGTATTAGTGTAGCCACGTAGCCTACACACAGCTTATAAGTGATAAACAAGATTTTTTTTTTATCCACAAAGAAGCGCCGTCCTGTGGTTTTTGCAACATGACGCTTCTTTACGGGTTTTTGACTCACACACGGGTTTTGCGACATGCTTTACGTTACTTAATTCATGAGAGATGGAGACGCAGGAGGCTGAAGTATTAAACCGGTGGTCGCAACAAACAGA